TTTAAAAGTCTTTTTTGTGGATGTCTGATCGGTGGAAGTCGCCGTACTAATATAGCAATTACAGGAATGAGCACACCTAAATTTCCTGCGCTACTTGCTGTTTTCTGATATATATATTAAAATATAAGAATTATGATAAAATTTTGTAAATTGCCATATAATTATTAATTAAGTCAATTATAATTACCGTCATAGTAACATTATTTGATGCTTTATCACTGGCACGTTTACCTTCTAATCCTAATTGAACAAAAAGTTCAAGCAAATGAAGTAATAAATCATTTAATTCTGTTTCACCTTGGAGATTTGCTGCTATATTTGCAAGAGCATTTGTGACTGCTTTAGCTACATGACAGTACTGTTTTCGATCATCATTAGAAGCATAAGTTGCCGTACTTGAACCCAATGACATAGAAAACATTTGCATTATGCCTTCATAAATCTGAAAAAAAAAAAATATTTGTATATTTTACATAATATAGTAATTTATACATGAAAAATTTTATCAATTTATTTGGTAATTGTTAATTAATCTTGAAATGAACCTTTGATTCGCATTTCGCAATAATCATACATCCTAACTGATCCACGATCAGAAAATCAAGATCACTCGGAGTACGACAAAATAATTGTTGAAAAAATGGGAATATTGTACGCATAGTTTTTGGGGTATCTTTCAACGCAACAGCGACGTGCCCCAACATGATTACTATATTTTTCGAAATTAATTCGCTATTCGACCTGTCATCGGATTCACTAAAAGTATTGAAATAAATAATTGAGATATCGTAACTAAAGTATTCAAAAAAAAGAATTCAGGGAAAAATAAATAAAATGTAAAAATGGAAAAATATTTATAGTACCCGTCGCATATATCAGCAGCAAATAATCTATTCGAAACACTAGCAACTAATGCTGGTACACAATCCGGATTCACAGAATGAGCAGCTTCTAGAGCAATACAAAGATTACCAATAGCTGCATCTCGTAATTTCTCAAAGGCTGTTTGTATCGACGAAGTAGTTTGTTTCGAATCTTGTATATCTTTCCCTTAAAAAAAAAAATTTTTCATATTGCATATAATTATGTAATATAGCATTACAATATAATATGTTTATTAAAAATTTTATACCACCTTTTTCACTTTGTTGACGATGTAATTTAAGTAATATAGGCGATGGAACGACAAGAAAATCTCGAAGATAATATATAGATGTACTTGCAATATTAGGAAATTTTTGCGCTAATTTTCCTAATCCTTCAAGGCATACCATTAATAAAGGCATATGTGCCAGCACCAGTTTTGGTCCATGATTAGAATTAATCTTTTCAACTAAACGTCCACATAAACTATCCGCACCTGTAAATAATATATAATTCCATAAATAATATTTGCAAATGTAATCCTACTATTCGTAAGCTAGATAATGTTTGTTAATTCTAAAAATTTTTCCCAGAAAATGAAGAGCACTGTATAGAAATTACTCTTTCAATAATTTAAAATAGCAGTGCATAGAAATATATAAGTATATATATATTGTTGTAATAGTCTTATGTATGAATTTGTCGCTTATTTTCGCATTAATAATTGAACAAACAGTTAAAATTAGCTAAGAGAATTATATTTAGTGGAATAACAATTAAATTAACGGCGTTAATGTAATATCAAAGAAAATTGTATTCGTTAGTTAAAAATTGTTGAAGGTTATCAGAGATATGGGATAATCAATCGAAATGCAATATAAGCTAAATTCGAATACCCTCGCCAATCAGCATTGAACTGATATCTGCGAATAGCGCGGACAAATCATACTGGTCTCTCACTGGAAAAATAACGTAATGATCTACATATAATCCTACCAATGCAGAAGATTTATATTTAAATAATTTTATTAAAACATAATAAGAATATTAAACATATATGGTTTTCCAGACTATATTAAAGTGTTGATTTATTACTTACCAGTTTCATCACCAATTGCCCAAACAAGAAGATCAACACACGCAGAATTAGCCATAACATTTACTTTAAATCTATTTACAGTTCGGAAATTAGTATCCATGTCTTCGCGTTCGCTTGCATCATGTTGACGCGATTGCAATTCTGTTTGACCAGATAAAAATAGACCTTTTACGAATTCTTGTACATCTCTTGTAAATGGAGTAGGCAAATCGCGTTGATTTTGTAACAATTCTCGTAAAAGAGCAACCATTACTAAATTCATTGTCTCACTAAATGTACGATAAGGAAATATTTGCACCTGTCCAGAATTGTAAACCTAAATAAAAATTTAATCAAGTGGAATTTATATTAAATAAAATTAATAATATAACATTGTATAATATTAATATAAAATAATAATAATAACTAACTTGTTGAGTTTCTTCATCGAGAAATGTTAAAATTTCTTTAGTAAGCAATTTCTTTGCTAAAGCCAATACACTTTGTAAATGTACTACATTAAATTGCATACCAGCTCTTCTCTCAGGGCTTTCATTACATCTCATTTGAGGAAACTGATTGAAACTTGATCCATATCGACTAAAAAAATATGTGGGCGGATCATAGGGTACTGATGAATAAGATTGTAATGATGGTCGTTTAGCACAGGGATATTCATGATCCCCGATCAATAAACTTGATGCAGTATCCACAGTCGGATGAGGATTCAAATTACCACTTAACGACCGAGGAATAATTGGTCGAAAGTTTGAAAAACTATGTTGTTTTCTATCCGATATTAAACGCGTTTCTGCATTTGGTTTTAAGAGAGGTGGTTCCGGTCTCGGGAAAATACGACATAAAAGAGGTGGATCAGTATATGCAAAGCGACCCATAGATCGAGCTAAACCAATTAATACTGGAACTAGACATTTACACAATGACACTAAAAAAAAAATATATATATATAAATATATAATTATAATAAAATATAGTTAGCGATAAAAAGGGAATATCTACATTTTGCTTGCATCCCTCTATTGCCATTTTGATCTTTATATCCTCTAATGAGATTTGTTAAAACTGCAAGTATTTCTACTTGAGTAGAAATGATTTCTTCACGTACTGGTTCACATCTAGCTGCAACATCACTAAGTAATGTATTTAAACAAAAACTAAACCGTTCAGCAACAGGAATACGTTCACTAGGTGAACATTTGACCTCATCCAACCATACAGCTTTTGGAAGACCACGTAATAATCGTAAAAGATAAGGTAATATTTTATCCCGATGTTGTAGACCAGATTCCAAAAAGTATATTCCCAATGCAATAGTTGCATCTTGACCTCTTTGATCTAATCTATATATACCTTGAGTAGATTCTTGTGGGCATAACTTGAATAATTGTGAGATCTATATTAAGAAAAAATTTCTTTAATTCTTAACATTACTAATACAATTATTTAAATCAAATGTATTTAAGAAAAAGTTATAGATACAAGTATAGCAAATTTTTTTCTTATTGATATTAATTGTATTTATAATGATATTTATTAATTGTCAGCATAATTTAAACTAATTTTAATAAATAATAATTAAATATTAATAATCTTATTTAATAATTCAATAAAGAATATTTATATATTTTTTTTAATTTATAAAAATATAATAAACACTCATATAATATAAATATCAAAAATCATTACTTTATTATATCACTTTATATTAAAATCAAATGCATATGAGTTATATAAAATTATAATATAAAACAAAATATTATTTGATTAAAAAATGTTTTATGTTTAATTAATTAAACATAATAAAAAATTTAATTAAAAATAATAAATTAGAAAATAATTATTTAATACAAAAGGAAAAATTAGAATATTTAATAATAAATAAAAAATATTTTTCAATTTTTTTATTTACAAAGTTGTATTTGTAAAACAATTGTTTAAAGTGAATTATGTCTGTAACATATATTATAACTCATTTATTTAGAAACATAATAACGTCAATAATTAATTACAATGAATTGATTGTCTGAATTACATCATGAGATGACATATCAGAATATTAGCTGACATATTCTTGAAATTAACCTAATCCTAATTAAATGTCAAATTTTTTTTGATACGTAAATATCATTTTAATTTACAATACAAGATCAATAATTAATATACCTTTTCTGATGATGTAGGTTTAATTGCTGCTAAACATCTAGCTAAATGTTGGACGGCTTTCGAGAAAAACAATTTCTCGTCTGCCACCATTTTGCCCACTGTCTACTTGCCGTATGATTATATTTCTCGTAAATATCGTCTGCTTGTCTCATTGATAAAGCGCCTTCTATTATTCGATTTATCGATTATTCAAATTCGATATTTAAATTTCCGCAAATTTGAATTTCAGTTTATTTCTAAAGAATAATAAGATATTTTATATATATGTATTTATAATATTAATAATAAATTTTAATGATCAAAATCTATTTCATATAACTATGTAAAATTTATATATTTAATTAAATGGGAAAAATTATAAATAGAATAAAAATGAAATTTGAAAAATATAAAAATTTAAGATATTAAATTTAGTGATTATGTAGTAATTAACTACAATATATACTAAATTTATTTTTACATTTAATGAATATATTATTTGATTTATTTGATAATCGATAGAAATCGATAGTAATTTAAAAGTTGATATATCGATTTTATTTCTTGAAGTCACAGTTTGAATTTGTACTGTTAATATTGCTGACGTGTGAATAAACGAACAGATTAATTTTTAATTTTAACGTTTACAAATTTTTACGAAAAGTGCAAAAATATTAAAAGTGTTAAAAATGATACTGAAGGAAGGATTTGGTGAGTGAATTTATTAAAAATTTAATTCAATTATGAATTAAATATCGTAGAATGCATGCAATTTCTAACTATTAAGAGAAAAATATATAACTTTAATTGATAACATTTTCTGAATGAATTATAAATATTTAAAATTATAATATATTAAATATATTTATATATACATATTTATATTACAATTTTTAGTCCATGATAAATAATACTCCAATTTTTTACGATATAAAAAAAGCATTTTTTTCGATAAATTTATATTATCAATCTTATATCGAACAAATTTTTTGAAAAATTCTTTATTTCCAATGTCATTTTTATTTTTCAATATTTCTTTTGTTGCTGCTATTAATAATCTATATAATTCAGAAAGTGCAACAGCAATATACAGATATTTATTTTCGGAATCTTGCATTATTATATTGCCAGCTTCTTTGAAAGCTAATAAAGTTTGTTCATCTTGTGGTAACCAATTACACTGAAAACAATTAACAAACTTTTTATATCTTTTTATTTTTTATTATTTTTTGAATATTAAATATTATAAAACTTACACTAATAATTTTATGAACAATAGAAGTTATTGCTGATTCTGAATTTTCATAAACTTTATTGTATTTCATATTTTCACTGAGATCAAGAAAAACAATTGTAGCTTCTACTGGACAGTTTAGATAGTCACCATTATAATAATTTGCTATGTATGCGTATGCATAGATTACATTTATTATATTATATTCAACATTTGGAGAAGCTTTCTATAAGAAATATTTTATTAGCTTCTATAATATTATTTATTCTATAATATTATTCTATAATATTATTACATTACATTATATTATATTACATTAAAGTTCTAATATATTTTAATACCTGTAATTCATTAAATATTGGAACATCTATTAGCGAAGGAAGTTTCTGTGCTTGTTCATCATATGTTTGATCCATATCTTCAATAAGTTTTTTTTTCGTACAATGAATCCACCATGGAATCCATTTTGGTAAAAATTTATCTATATCACCATTTTTTATTAGAGCTTCAAATTCTTGTTTCTCAGCATTTGTTAACACAGACCATACTTGATCTGCATTATCCAAATTTATATCATAAAGTCTTTTTTCTAAATCTGATATCTAAAAAAGAAACAGTTTAAATATTAATATTAGATATTTAAATAAGAATGAAAAAACAAATTGTTGTATCAATATGACACAAATTATTATATCAATATGAATTCAATTCACATTTTCTTCATCATCTGAATCTAATTGTTCTTCTGATTCTTCATCAATTTCATCATTTTCCAATGTTTCCATATCTTCTAAATCTTGTTCATGTACTCTTTTGAGAATTTTTAACATCTTTTGTCTATCTTCTGTGTCTCTTTCTTGAGATTTAAGCTCATTTATTACACATTGCTTATAAAAACTTTCTGAACATTCTAAATGAGCTTCTTTTTTATAGCAATCAACACTGCAATATTTTATCTCACATCGTGGACAAGTATATATATGAGGGCGTTTATTACATCTAAAAATAAATAAAAAGTTCTAATATATCTTTCATAAATTTTTTACATTAATATAAATATTATTAATATTTAATTATTATTAATTATTATAATAATTATTATTATAATAATTAATATTATTAATATTTATTATTAATATTTATGATATAAAACTTTTTTAAATATAATATGAAAAAATTTTTCAAAAAATATTTAAGATGATATAAAAAATAAATTCTTAAGCTTGCTATTTTAAAATTATTTAAAATAATATTTATAAACAGTTTGAGGTTAATATAGATACGTGCAATTTGCAAATATTATTTATATTTATAGAATTCGTTTGTCGAATATCCATTATTTTTTTTTTCCAGATTATTTTTAAATTAATTAAATTATTCAATATAACAGCCAATTAATACCAATTTAATAATTTCTGAATTTTAAATGTCTAAAACGTAATAATCATTTTCAAACGTGTTATTTGGTTTGCAAGTACTATATAATATCTGATAAGTTTATATCATAAAAAATAATGTTTAGATGTATAATAGGAAATTTATATATTAAGAAGGGAAAAATATATTTTCAAATTTAAGATTTATATATAAATCCATTTATTTATATATATGCATTACAAATTAATTCATAAATAATAATATCACGAACCTAACCTATTGTTAGGTTTTTCGACTAAAATACCATTTTTCAATTTCTTATAATTGAATTCAATTTCTTTTCGTTTGTTTGTCCAAGCTTTAGTATCTATTTTTGATAATATATGTTCAGGATCTACAGCTACTTCTTTGCATTTTAATAAACTTGCTTTCTCATCTATATTTGTTTCTATTTTTCTTTTCTTTTGAAACTTTGGAAGATCTTCTTCAATTACTAAAAATTCTGATGAAGAATTGAGCAATTTTATACCATAATTATTACTTTCATTATCTTTTTCATTTATAATATTGTCTGTCTTTTTCTTCTTTATTTTAATGGATCTGAAAAATTCTCTTAGTATATAAAAAAATAAATAAAAATTATTTAATATGAATAATTTAAATTCAAATTAATAATTATATATTTTAAATAATTATGTACTTTTCTAATATTTCATCTAATTTTTTTGCAACATAATTTTGAAATGTTGAAGTCACACCAAAATTGGAAAATGTATCTTCATGTTCTAATTTTTTTCTTAATGATATGGGATTTATTACACTATTAATTTCTATTGAATTATCTAAAAAAAAGAAAAGAAAAATTGCCGTTTATTAGAAATTCTGTAATAAAAAATAAAGAATGTGGTTAAGATGAAGATATGAAAGTGAGGTTATAATACTTACATTCATTCGATTTTTTAGAAACATCTACGTTTTTAAATTTTTCGTTAGAGAAATAGTGTTCTTTTAGAAGTTGATGATCAGTTGCTTCTTTTATTGCATTTTTTGATATTTCATCTTCAGAACTACTTGAATCGTCATTGTTTTTCTCTAACATTGTTCTCGAATGTTTCGATATCAATCGATAATCGAATTTAAATTCTACAATGTCGTAAACATCTTATAATTTGTATTATTTATCTATAATTTAACCAATTATTTTATCAAAGAAGAAAAAAACAAAAAATTAAAAGTGAAAAAAATTGAAATTAACTATTTAATTAACTCATTGCCGAAATTTGTTTATTAGTTAGTAGTTATAAATTTTTGTACAGAATGTGAGTACTTGAAATGCGTGTAAAGATGTTCGTATATTGTACAATTATTCATTAGGAATATCCTTCGTTAGCAATTAAAAACACAAGTCTCAAATATTTCCATACTTGAAAGGCATACAGTGGAGGAATAATTAATTATTATATACTTTAATATAAATTTAAAGCTAACATAAATTATACTAAATATTTTTCACATATTTTTATTTTTATTTTAACTTGAAAAAGACGCATCTTTTTTTTAAATAGAAATATAAGAAAAATAAAATGAATACAATGATAAAATTAAATGGGATTATTAAAAAAATAGTAATAAAATATTAAAAGATTAATAGATTCACCAAGAAAAGAAAACAATAATAAATCTCAAAACAATTTTAAAAATATTTAGCATTACATATCTTGTATCATGTCGTTAAATTTTATTCGTTAATTTTAATCATTTTGATTGAATTTTATTATTGTATCGCTATAACCACATATTTAACGCCACATGTACAAAAACTCGATCATTTCGAAGAAATACCTACATCTCAATGAAGTGAAAATTGAAATGAAGTAAAGTGAAGTGATGAAAAAACAAAAACGATGGCAATAATAATTATGAGATAAAATAATGAATAGATTAATTATCAATGAAAAAGAAAATAAATGCTCGGAGTATTTGGAAGTGTGTATCTTAAACATAAACAATGATGTATTTTAAAATATTATAATTATTTTCTATTCGAGAAGGAAACATTTCGACTAAATTATGTCAACGTGTTTAACGGTAAGATTAACAAGAATTACAGGCGCAAATTATCTTCAATCGTTTCTGACCTATTCGATGCTGGCTTGAAAGGAACAATTCGTAGAGACTTGTGGTCTAGAAACTAAATGGACGGGCGAAGTCGAATATTGCCAACGATGTTTATGTACACGATTTAATGATCGTTTTTTCTTCTTGTTTTCTTTCTCTCTCATCCTCCCTAATAATTCAATCTTAATCTAAATACATTTAATAATATATTCTCACTTTGCATCATCATTTCTTTTTTTTTTTCTTTATACTTTTTTCTTTTTATTTTAATGCGCTTCTGAGAGATTTCATATACATTGTTCTTTTTTTGTATATTTATGTATATATGTATACGTATTTTCTTTTGCATATTTCTTAATTTAAATGATTAATAATCATTTTTTATTTCCTTCTTTCTCATTTTCTTTTTTTTCTTAAATAATAATTGTAAAATGTATAAAATATACAAGGAGCAGTGTTCACGAGTACATTTTATACAGATATACATTTTCGCGTAAAGATATTGTATAGGTGTGTATATGTGTACGTATGTCTCACTTTTATTTCCTCTAATATTATCTTTGATGTGTGCATTGGCTTTTTTTTGGCTCGTTTGTCAATTTGTTTCTCGCATTTATTTATGTATATATGTATGTATATGTATATGCATATTTATGTGTATGACATTGTATGTATACTTATTATACTTATGTATATGTATATTCTTTCCTCGTCATCGTATCTCAATGTACAGTAATGTTTTATTTTATTTTTTATAATTTTTTATTTCTTTGCTAAGGCATTCGTTATGGCAAGTATATTTTAAAAGTGCTGATGTCTAAACGCGCGTGAATACTTATAGTTTTCTGTTTTTTTTCATTTTCATACAATTTATAAAAGTATATTGGCCAGTTATATAACTTCTAATTAGCCAGCTACATGTTCACTTAAAAAACGATTCGCTCGTTAGAAAAAGAACTAATCTGCTTCGTATTTTTTCTTTTTTTTCTTTTTTCTTGTTTCATTAATTGTAATTGTTCTTATTTTTTTTATTGTTTTATTTATTTCTCGTTTAATTCAATTGCGCCTTATAATCCGCGGCCACTAATTGTTTTTTTTTATACTCTCTATTTTGCATGCATCTTTACTCTTATGCTCGTTATTCGATTATTTCTGCAATTAATTTTTTTTTTTTAATTATCCTTTAATAAAATATATTTAGTCGCAGGCTAGAGAATCGGAAATAAGAAGATGTATACGTATATGTCTAAAGAATTATAATGTATTCCTTCGCTATAGAATCTTTTCATACGCATTATTTTATTTTATTTTTTTCTTTAATTCATTTTTTTATTTTTCGACTATAGTGGAATTATAATTGATGTGGTCATAGTTTTTTCTCCTCATTTCTCCTTGTTTACACCGACATAACGAACACAAAAACTTTCATCGGTGTAATGTGTATATACGTATGTATATGTATGTATATGTGTATGACATGTTATGGATGATAAAATTATTTCGATTAAATCTCAACTCTTACTTATTTCAATTTAAACTTCTTATTCGCTTTTTTTTTAAATATATTTTAACTTTCTCGTGCCACGAGTTGGCTTAAACGGAATTCATTTTACGCATCGTATACACGCGCGCATATACATTTACATGTATATGAATACATGTGTATATATATATTTTTTCTTTTATTTTATTTCTTTATAATCGCAAAACATAATTTGCCTTTTTAGAGAGGCGATTGGATCATTCTTGCAAACAATGGTGTAGTGAATATAGTTTTAAAACAATTTAAACTCTCTAGTTATCATCTGCCAACTGTTCGTTAAACATTAATTTAACATGTGAAAGAAAAATTTTGAATATTTCAATTTATTAAAGACATTTTATATGATAGAATATTTCTTATTTATATAATTTCTTATTTAAGTAATTAATAAACGTTAAATTTTATTTAAATAAATAAAGTTTTAATTCTATTAGTACATTCTTTTCATATTACAAATGTAAGATTTTTTCTAAAAGTTCATCTAAATTAAATTGTTGATTTGTTTCTCGTGATAGATAGATTGAAACGAAAGTTACAAAAGAAAAACGATTAGAGAGTCAATTATAATGAAGAGATAAATGAAATATTTTTTTTTAAATAGAATCGAAATATAATATCATATAAACAATCCAGATCGAGTCTTGGAATGCAAATTCTGTATCGATACTACACCATTGAGTTTCACAACACGACGGAGTTACAATACAATGAAAATGTACATATTTTAACTTTTATCAATCGCAAACATTGTATTAATTGGAATATTTTTTATAATCTATCATTTTTTATAATTCTATCTCTTCGAATGATTAGAACGATTCATCCCGGAGCGATAGGAATATTCGATCGATCTTTAATCCTTTGCGCACTCGATTCGTTTGTTTTGTTCGATTAATTATGTTTTCTATTGGAATGAATCTTTGTCGAAATTACTATAATATCCTATTTATATTCTGTAAAAATTATTATCTTTATGATTTTTTTTTTTTCTAAATTTTAAAATGAAAGATTCGAGGGTTAAAGAGACAACTAAAGGAGCGTTGTCGAGTGCGAAAAGTTAAACACCGATACGGAACTCAATAATTGAATGATAATTCGTTAATTGCTTCACTTCATTTTTTTTCTTTTTATCTGATTCCATATTATTCGCTTTTACAATTATTTAGTGCATCTTGAACAAGCACCTATTATGAGCTCTTAATTTTTATATCGCTACTACGCTTGCTTTTTTTTGTTATAGGGCTGCATTCTTCTCTCTCGCTTTTTCTCTCTTTCTCTCGCTTCATCTTTCTTCCTCTCTCCTTGTCTCTTCGCATCACGCATTCTCGTCGATTTTTATATCGAACGAAATCGTCGATGATTTTTTCAGCAAACTCCGCGAAAAACGTGTTTTTATTATTATATATATATATATTTTATATTTTTTTTTTTGTAACAAACTTAGCGAACGATGTCTAATTAGAAAAACGTCAAGAGATTCGTACCAGCGCTTGCGTGTGGCATACATACTTACATAGATTCATACAATAAGCGCGATACGATCAAGATGCACGCTTATGGTGTGAATTTTGTAGAAAACTCTTTCGTAGAAAATTGACGCTAGGGTAATGTTTTATTCTCTGTCTCTCTCTCTCTCTCTCTCTCTTAATTAATCGCGCACGTTCTCTTTCGCTCACGTTCAATCGTACATCCATTCTTTCTCTTGTATTTTTTTTTCTTTTTATTATTTTTTGTTATTACATTTGTTTTTCTTTGTGTTTTTTTTCTTTTTTTTTTTTTTATAAGGCGCTACTACGTAAATTTCTCGCATGACGAGGATGATTTCTACACGGTGGCACACTTCTAAATCGATTTAACGATGATCTCTACATTGTATCCTTGTATCTATCTTGTTTGTTACATTAAAAACAATTCTTATTTGAATTTCTAATTACTGATTCTTTCATAGCGTAACACGAAGGTTAATTAAGAATTATAAATAACAAGGCGCTATTATATTATTCAGATAATTTTAATTGTAAATTTAATGAAAATTATTGTTAAAATTTTTTAAATTTTAGAAATGAAAATTTTCTGATGTAAAAGAATTCTGATTCTTTAATCTTTTCAATATAAATAAACAAATAATATTAATATATAAATTATATTTTATGCTAAATTAAATTTTTTATATACTAATTTCATTTTTACCTCAATAAACAAAAAAAAATATTGAGAACATCAGAATTTATCTATTATCATATAATCTATTATTAAAATCATTATTAAAATTCTTGAATTAAAATATGAATTAAATTTTTATATTTTTCGTTTTAATACACTATGAAAGAATTAATTATCTAATCAGATCAAAAGATCAAGAAAATGAGAGGAATATAACGAGATAAATTACGGTGGTTAAATTCTACTAATGACATCTACAAGGCGATCGACATGTCATTTGATCTGCGATAACGAACTTTAATATCTTCAATTTCGTTGTTTCAATCACTTATGCACATGTGTATATGTATATGCGTAATGTGTACTTGTGTGTATTTATTCGAGTAAAATTATTGATTATCGGGATAATGTTGTCATCTACTCGTGATCTATAACACATCTATAGTTCAAATCATTATTATGTGTCACCTTGTAGAGATCACCGAAAAACGGCTTGTATGTGTACTGTCTAACGAAGCTTAGCATTCTACTTGGCATTGGACAGTCGCACATTTCATCGATCGTTAGCATTTTTTTCTCTTTTATTTTTATAATCTTCATTTTTTAAATAGTTTTGTATTCAATCCTTGAAATCGGAAACGGAAATGTTTTTTTTTTTTTTTAAATTTAGGTATGTATGTTTTGTCTGTCTACATTGTTACTGCTATGATTTAACTTGACTATGCTCTCTCGATTCGACAGATCTCGATAGGCTCGTTGAACTTGCAAGCCAATAACGTCCGAAAACGAAATTTTATTTTAATTGTTTTCTTTTCTTTTTCTTTTTTTCCGTTTTTTTCTTTTTTGTTTTTCGAGAATAATAGGTGAATTGCGAGATTTAGATTGTGGAGAGGTTTCTGGAGAGCAAATTTTTTGGAATTGTTGTCTGGTGATGAGGAATATTTGAAAAATAAAATTATTTTTGAATTATGTTTGATTAGATATTTTACAAAATTATTGAATATTAACATTAAAATAGCATTTAACTAAATTTACAAATAAAAATTTGAAATAAAATTTGACAATTTTTAGACTTCTATGTTTAACTTACTAGAGAAGTGTAGAATTGAATCTAGAAAATCTTGGAACGCATAGACTTTTGAAAACTTTTTAAAAATTTTTTTAATTAGTGATAGAAGTGCTAATTTTTATTCCAGTAAAAAGTTATAGTAGTTTTTGTGTTAATGAAACTTTTATTTAGAAGATTTTTCCGTTTCAAGATTTTATATATTAAATATTAATATGGCTTGTATAAAACTAATTGGAAAGATTAAAAAATGATCATTTGACCATTTTTTATAATATTTACAATATTTCAATAAATATTTTTTAATGTCTTAACTAAATATAACATAAAATCAAAATTAAAAAAAAAAATTACGTATATTAAAAGTATGAGTATTAAAGAACATAATAGAATTAATTTTAAAAAATATTAGCAAAATAAATTAAGATATTAATCAAATGATAAATTTAGAATCATTCGTTAATCATCATTTTTAAAATAATTTTTTTCATCGAATTTTTCTACAATTGTATTTATACGATAAATCATTCTATTCGCTTTGATACGCTAAATAATAATTTTAAGTATGATTTAAAAAAAAAATTTTGACCCATCACCAAACTTATCTAAATACTGTATTTCGAATGGATAATCAGTTATTAATTATTCAGCGATAGATCTCGCCGAATTACGAATTCGTAATAATAATATAGTTAAAACGAGACATTTGATATGTTAAGATCCGAGATATATATTTCATGGTATTACAGTCTTTTTTTTTTGTGTTATATATACTTTTTATATTCTGGGTCTAGAACAGTTCTAGCGTCAAGTATTTGTATTTATTTCATATTTCAATCGTTCACGACTATCTCGCAATTCATCATCCATCATCGATCTCACGAAAAAATTAAAGGCTATTTCGATGATTCTCCTTTGTATCTTTTTTATTTTTTCCTCTTTTACTTTTCTCATTTTTTTTTCTTTTATTTTTGGAAATTTCTATTTGTTGTCTCTTCGATTTCTTTGAATTACATTGCACGCGCAGATTTACGATATCATTTCCGATTTCCGGACCTCTATGACCGTGTTCTCGTTTCTCTGCTATCTTTGTGAAACCTATTTCTCGATATCGATACAAAAACTAACTTCGTCTTTTTTGTATGTTAATTATTATTTTTTTTGTTGCTTTCGTTTTTGTTAATTTCGCTTAATTACGCGTCTCACTCTTGTCGCTTAGTAAATAACGTGCATCTTGAATAGCCGCACGATTTCTATTTTTTTTTTGTTTTCTTTTTTTTTTTTTTTTTTTTTATATATATATTTCTTAACACCATGTTTGTTCGCGTTTGCTCGATATTTAATCTTAATATTATTCTTTTTTTTTTTAAATTCTTTTTCATCCATTTTTCTTTACCTTGCTATTTTTGCTGTTGTCTATATGTATACGATACACATAGACCGATTTTTTTTACAATATGCAACATATCTTATATTTTTAATCTTTTTCTATACGGTAAATAGCGTTTCTCTCTTTTTTCTCTTTCTTTTTTATCACGCTCTTCGATCGAAATTAGCAGTATCTAAATAATTATCTATTGATTTTTGTTTTTCCAGCAGTGATAGCAAAAAGTACAATTTCCTTTCGTTTCTTCCTTGCTATAATTTCATGTTACGATAATAACAAGAATAATAATAATAACAAGAATAATAATAATAACAAGAATAATAATAATAATAATAATAATAATAAACGATAATAATAATAATAATAATAATAATAATAAACAATAATAATAATAATAGTAGTAGTAATAGTAGTAGTAATAGTAGTAGTAGTAGTAGTAATAGTAGTACTATTATTAATAGTAGTACTATTATTACTACTACTACTACTACTACTACTACTACTACTACTACTACTACTACTACTATTACTACTATTAATAATAATAATTGTTCACGATTTAATTCCATGTTCGCCTTATTTTTGTTACTTTTTTTTTCAAGTAATAATAATAATATTCTTATTCTTTTTCTTTTTTTCTCACACTTTTCTTGCTCACTTTCTCTTTTCCTTTCTATTTCTCTTTTTTTTTTTCCTTGTATAATTAATTTTACATACATCTTAGGCCCAAATCTTGTTGGCAGATTAGTCCTAGACCGATTTTTGTGTGTATAGATTAATCTATAAAAACGTCGAACATCCGGTCTACGAGTATTCTACCATTTTTTGAGATACATTTTTTTTTGACCTGCGGTACACCGTTCTCTCATTGTATTATAATATATAATATAATATAATATAATACAATATAATATAATATATAATATAATATAATATAATATAATATAATATAATATAACATAACATAACATAATATAATATAATATAATATAATATAATATAATATAATATAATGTAATATAATATAATATAACATAATATAATATAATATAATATAATAACATAATAACAATAATTTTTTTCAAATACGAAAAATATAAAATTTATATTAAAATTAAAAAACAATTCTAATAAATAATTTATAAAAAGTGCCAGAATAAAAATTCGATTATCGATATTATATTACTGTGCAATTTTGAAATAAAAAATAAAAGTTCATTCAATTTAATGTTATAAATATTAATGATATTAAATCGTAAAAGCAAATTTAAGTGATTTCATGTGAAAATTATTTTACAAAGATAACAAACAAACATTAAATTTATAATAAATATTGCATATTAATTAAACATATTTATACATTTTTTTACAACTTTAAATATTATTCATTTTTCAGATTAATTAACATATTTATAAAGTTATTTCATTCAAATCAAATATTATTTAACTATATAATATAACAAATTGAAAATAATGATAATAATAACAAACGAATAATTATATTTTACAATACATAATCTGAATCATTTAATCGAAATGAAGATAGATCGTATATTAAAAAAACGTTCGTAGTATAATAGAGTGGGGAGGGCACGCGTGTTCGCCGGGTAGCGTGAGTTTGACAGCAAGCAAGGGTGGCGCGCAGGCGATTATGGGGAGGGGAAATGCGCCGTCAGTATTTCGCGAACCACCGACGAGTACGGATCGTGTCTTTGTTAATTCTTCGTTATTTCTAATTATCTGCCAGTGATCGCTCGCATAATTCGTTGACCAAAAATATTGTTAACATTCGTTGTATGCTCTTCGTTTCGCTAATCGTACTTCATTATCCATCAATAGAATCTTTTCATCAAAAAATGTACATGGTCGATAATGTCGCGAATTAACAACTATCATTTGAATAGTCATTTATAATGATTATTATTTTCGTCAGTAAACATTGCGAGGTGGTTCTCGAGATATGCAATCGTTGACGCATACACAGAACGAATTTACACGCGATCAACGATTTTGGATCGCAAAACGTGAATCTCGTTGGTGTCGGCTAAAGAGTTTGTCTGATAAAACGAGACGGCGTGGCGTCTGTATCGGAAAACGGCATATTTGTGTCTCGCGTATGGATTAAAACGCGAGTGAATGGTTGTTGGAGAGTGGTAAAAAAGGCGGGATGAGTGCGAGAGAAGTTACCCTCATCGGCGGCTCCCCTTGGGGATTCCGTATGCATGGTGGGCATGATTTGCATCAACCCCTTCGCATCTCCAGAGTAAGTCTATTCATCGCCTATTTTATTTTTTGAACATAACTGAACTGTAAACATTAACTATTTAATGTATATGCTACGTAAAAATATGTTGTTTCTACGCGTCTTTAATGTTAAACATATTTATTGTGTTTATCGTAGATATATTAAGTCAATCTCGTGATGACGAATTTTTGTATTGTTGTCATTTTTTTACTCATCATCTGTTTAGATTTAGCCATATTGTTTTTCTGTACATATAAAATTCATTTCGTTTGTTCATTATTTCGGAGAAAATTTTATATATTACGAAAATATATAATATGAAATATATTCAAGTTGCGATATAAATATGAAATTAGCTGTTAGTAGTTCTTTGTAAAGTAAAAATTTTGCACGAACTTCAGATTGCTCCAAAATTTAGATTCAATTGAGTTATTATGTTGAATACATATAAATTTAAAAATATAGATAGCAAAATGAAATAATATTGATAAAAGCTATCTATCTTTACTGATTTATAGTATGTATATGTAATTAAAATTTATTAAATGATTTAAAGTTCTAGACTTATTTCGAAATCTTTGCCGTCAGAAAAATATTAGAATGTAATTTATTATATGCTATAGATACTTATCGAATCGTCGATATTTTCAACGTTGCCAATAGATTTTGGCACTTGACACGAACAAATGAAAAACATCGATATTAGGGCCATATAATTCTGCGGTATGTTCGTTACACATATAGTTAGAATTATCGAAAGCGGTTTGGCGCTTGGTTAAATTTAATGCTGGCCGATACCTTTTACGTGCATACGTTTTAACGTCGCTTACGAATCCATTAATTTACATCGATAGCCTGTGTTTCTCGATATATATTGCCTCGATAACGGTTTCTATCCATTCGAGTATTTCAATATTCAGGAATTCATTCTTTTGAACATTTTTTTCAAGAAGAACATTTTCGTTCAAGAAGGATCTTTTATCTAGGTTATTGGAATTTTTTTCTCTATATTTCTGTCTATTAAATAAGAAAAGAAATTCGATTAGAAATTATACAATATTTATGTAAATTAATATAGAATTGTGACTATCGATAACAATATAAATACTTTGTTATAATAAATATGTTAATATTATCGATAATTCGATATATTGATATTATTATTGAGATATAAATAATGGATGAAATTTTTATTTTTTCTTTTTCAATTAATTATTAAACTCATAATCAAAAAAAAACTTTTTTATATGCCTTAATAATAATTTTAAATAAAAAAAAAATTTTTATTCGTTAAAGATATCTTAACAATATTATCGATATCAAAAACTATTAGTAAGATATCGATATTATATCAATAATCGATAGTCACAATCTAGATTGCGTAGAAAACATGAATAATATGAAAAAAAAAGTTTAATAATTTTGAATGATCAAAAAGTGGAAGTTTAATTGATCAAAATTTATTTTTCTGAACATATTTCTATAAAATAGATCTCATAACATGATTGTCGTATGCTCAGCTGATACAGTTTAATTACGTCGTGTGTACATTTATCAAGGTCTTTTCCAGATTCGATCTGTGTATTTGAATTTCACGTTTGAAGATTTTTAGATATTTTTTGTGTTTCTTGAATAGATATTAATTCGACTCAATTAAATATGTTCATCGCGATTTGTGATAATATAAAATGAATAATTGTCTGTTTCGAGGTTATGTCATTTATCGACAGAGAAAAATTTCAAACATTTTCGTATATTTAGACATTCATCATATCGATGAAGGCAAACAAAATATCATAGTTTAAATAATTTAGATGTTTTTAATTTAGAATTTTCTTCACTATTATTCAATTGATTTAGTTAGATTCAAATATATAAAAATATATCTATTTTCTAATAAAAATTTATAATTTTTATTTATTTAATTACTTAAATTTTTATTTATTTAATTACTCGTTTTGTATCTTTTTATTTCATAGATCATAAATGGATAAATTAAATAATAATTTTATATTAACGAAACTGCTACATGTTGCTATTTTCAGTATGTATATTTGCAATAGTTTAATTATACTTGTCAATTTATATTTTATTTAGTCTGAACAAATTTTTTGTTATTTATTTCAACCATTTCATTTTTTTGCGTTTTTTAAACCAATATTCCATTTTCATTATTATAGATTAAATATGTTATAAAATAACTATAAAAATTTTATCAAACATTTCAATTTTAATAACTTGATTCAAATGAAATAAAATTTTTTTAGCAAACATACAACATTTAGCAAATAAAAAAATAACGTAAAACATATAATTTTTTTAATTATTTTAATTTATTTTAAATTTGAATAATCTTTTTTTGTCTATAAAATTATTGCAAGAAATAAAAATTATTTTAATTCATTCGACTTATATACAAGATACAAGATAAATGATTTAAAACAATTCAAGTACAATGTCGAACTACTTAGGTACTATAGAGATATATAATGAATAATAGTTTCAGGTAGTTATTCGAATGTCATGTTACTATCAAGGTTATAATGTAACTTACTGCGTAACTTTCTTGTTTCGTGTAGTGGTACGTATTCATAATATTACGTCTATTAATACATAATCCGATTCGAATAGCTTAGTTTTAAAATTTTTAGTTTTAAAACTTTTGTTAAATATACAATAATATTAACAATATTATAAAAATTTAAATATTGTGTTAAATATTCTTTATGTATTTCTAATAAAACAAAAAATTTGAAATTAGTCAATTTTATTAATTATTAATTATTAATTTGATAATTTTAGTATTAAATGTTATATATAAATTTGTAAATGAACAATAGATATTTAGAAAAGTAATAATTGATATATGATATATTGTAATTGTGTATAATACAATTTGTCTCATAAATCAGATACTCGTTTGACGTAAACGTTAGGCATGAATGATTTAGGTATTTGATTAATAATAGTTGAAAATGAACATAGAATGTAATCAATATTAATTTTTAATTGTCGAATTGATGTAATTATAAATATATTAATCTTGAATTGAATGAAAAATTTTAAAGAATGACATTTTATAGGGAAAAATATTAAATATAAATCGTGATAAATTCATTATTTTAATTGAAATTGATATAAATTTATTCAAGGAATCGTTTCATATCTTCAATTTTTAAAAATTCTCTAAATATTCAAAGAATGACTCTGGATTTTTTTTGGCCTTGTACAAGTTTTTTCGTTAAACGATTTCTGTTTTTCGACATTCACCTATCCATGAATAATTAGATATTTTTTATGCAAGTTTGTAGTTTTATTCAATTATTTTCTTCTCAATAAATTTGTATAATTTTTTATGTAAAAAAATATTGCGATATTTTTAGGTAGTATAGATTATAGATAGTATATTTATAGGAAATTTTTTTACATGAGTTGAGATATCATAAATGATATTCATTAATTCCTTAATATAAATATCGATATTATTCATAACATTATTTTACATAAATTAAAATATTACAAATCACTATTTAAAGTATTACTATTCGGTTTATAAATTCATTTCAAGTATCTAGATATTTTTAAAATAGAAATGACGATGATGCAAGAGAATAAAGTTTTTACATCTATCACGATTAAAGATTCAGAATATTAGCATGCAATGTTTCTAAGAAAAAAAAAAAAAAAAAAAAAAAGAAAAGGCATATAAACGTTTAAATTAATAAGGAAATCCGTGTGTTAAGTGAACAGAATATTAAATAATTAAAGAAGGAGACGTACAAATGAACCTAGGTTGTTAAGTGAACTTTGCTTTTTCCTGAGAAATGTCTCGGATTGTCGTGAAAATTGGTTACAGTCCTCTTTGACAATGTAAGCTCTGTTTTCCTCGGCCCTCCTGTTCCCTCTTTGTCCTGGAACCGCCCACGTCAAAAAGATGAACGGCAAAAGACACAATGAACGCCTTTCATTCGCGCGATTTATCACAAAGTTGAATATCGTCGGTGCTTGGCGGAGAATAATACTTTTCCTCCATCTTTTGTGATTCATATTAAAAGGAAGATGAAGAAAAAAAAAAGCAGGGAAAGTGTATAATCGATAACAGTTTTCGCGATATGTAACATATATACAACTGCCGCTGAAAAGGATATTTATTTTATAAAAATTTTTTTAAATCTTAGAATTACCAAAATGACGAATCTCAGATTTTTTTATTTTATAATTATTGAAAATATAATATGGATAATTTTGATTATATTAATATTGTTGAAAAAATTCCATCCTTTTTTTTTTGTTCGTAGTCGTATCGAAAAATAAATTCCTCATTCGAAGATTTTTCAAAATTAATCATATTCATTACATTGATCTTAATTGGCATTTTTAATTTCATTAATTGGACTTGATCCATTTTTTGTTTTTTTACGATTATAATTTATACTGTGTAATTACGAATTGTAAAAGATTAATGAATCAACATATTTTTCTTCGTATTTTTTTAAATGTCTTCGTAATCTAAAATATTTAAAATATTCAAAATATATCTTTGTATATTGATTTTATTTATTAATAGATTAGTAGCACTATGAGAATTTTAATATGGTAAAAATTTAATAATTTATAATCTTCTTATGAAACAATTTTTGGGATTTAAAATGATAAAATGAATAATCCTGTTTATTCTTTTTTTTATGCAATGTTTCCTATTTAAAAACAACGTATACATGGATTGTTTAATGAAAGGATTATTAAATATTTTAATTACGAATCTTTATTAGATTTCATTCATCAGTTTAATGAAACTAATATAGCAATTTTCTTGATACAAAGCTCAATGTTAATTGGCAATTAAAATTTCGTATAAATAGTATCTAAATTAAAAATTTATTTTTTAAGAAAAAATATAAAATATCTTAAATTGGAATTATTAGAAATATTGGAATTAGAAGAAAGTCAGTTCAATTCATTTCAAAAGTAAGAAATACAATTTGGCACAAAAATTCTAAAAATTCTAAATCAACATT